TTTAGCATGCCCATATGCGGCACGTGCACCCACCAGCTGCAAGTGGCTAAACCCTTTATAGCAATAGCTTTATACAATTATCAGCTACAAAATTCGTTCCGAGCCTTAAGCTTGAGCCTTAAGCTTGCAAACGAAAGTACACATCGATGCTTCAACGTTTCATGTGCATATGCACCATAAAGATTCAAAATATTGTAAAGCCAAAACAAACTTGAATGTGTGCTGCACAGACCACCAAGAGAGCCAAATTGAGCAGACTGCTCAAATTCCAAAGCAGACTACCTGCGCATTCCCAAGCTCTCCTCGAAGCCATTGTTAAAGAAATTGAAGCCCATGGGTTGCCAGAAGCCGCCAGCCCGAAGCACCAGCGAGAAGCGAGACAGCAACTGCTGGCCAGCTTCCATGGTGGAGCCTTGGGCCCATTGATCAGGGAAGGCACCTTGACCAAAGCAGATGGAAACCAGGTAAGGGTTCCACACTGCAGCTTCCTGGTCTACCTGTGCTTCTGTCCAAGCACCAGAAATGCCCATCCAGCCCAGAGCGGCCATGGGGATTGACTTTGTATGCAGATGAAATCATACCAGGCAATGTGCTAGGAAGGGCAGAACGCAAGTGCTGGGCACTGTATGCCACCATGGACGACTTCAAGCACCAGCTTTGCCACGAGGACCTCTGGCTCACTATGTGCGTCTGCAGATCCAGTGCGGTGGCTACTTTGGACGCAGGGGTTTCCCAACTGGTCACCATGGTCCTGGAGTCCATCTTTTTGGACCCATTGGTGGAGCCACTGGGTGGGTTCTTGCTTAAGGACCCAAGCGGCAACGCCGCCCAGGACGTGAGGCTCCATTTCCACTGGAGGGTCATGATCTGCGATGGGGCTGCCCACAAGCAGGTGTGGTGCACTAAAAGGCGACGGTGGCACCAAGTTTTGTGCCCTTTGTGCCAACGTCCACAGCTTCGCAGCCAAAGATCACGAGGACCAGGAGGGCCAGTACACCAGCACCACAAGGTACGACCAGTTGAGGCTTGTGACAGACCAGGAGCTCCTTGACAGCTACCAGAGACTGGATGCCAGGAGGGCCACCTGCTCCAAGAAAGACTTCCAGATTTGGCAGCAGGCCACAGGACTCACCGGGTCCAAATTTGCCTTGTTGCTGCACCCCACCTTGAGAGCCAGAGAAGTAATACGACCAGTGAGCCAATTTTGTCACGAGTATATGCGCGGAGTCCTCCAAGGAGTGGCACCAGTTGTGGTGCACCACACCCTGGAGGCTTTCCAGACAGAAGGCTTCCAGGTGTGGGAGTTTCTTCGCCAAGCTTTCCCACACTGGAAGCAGCCAAAAGCCACCAGAGCTGGCAACTTGGAGGCCATCTTCAGCCAAAAGCAAGTCCAAAAGCACAAGAACAACCAGAGGCTCAGCTGCCAAGCCTCAGAGTGCTTGGCCATTTTCGGCCCCATCCGCTTCGTGATCCACACCATCGTGAAGCCACAGGGGATGTGCCCAGGTGCATGTTCAGCCTTCTTGGCCATGGCCACTCTCATCGACCAGATCCACGGAGGAGCCCAAAGTGGAGCTACAACCAGAAGCAGCTTGCTCCAGGCATGCGAGGAAGCCATCCAGTCGTACCAAGCTGCCGGGTTTGGGAAACTGATACCCAAGTGGCATTGGCTCCTCCATATGACTGACATCCTGGAGCGGCTTGGCCACCTGCCCAATTGCTTCGCTCCAGAAAGGAAGCACAAGGGCATTGGCGGCTTAGCCATCAAGCTCCAGAACACCAAGGACTTCGAGACCAACTTGCTCCAACAAGTCCTGGCCAAGGAGATAGCAGGCCTGTTTCCAGAAACTGTCGTTTTCTTGAAGTCCAGGCCAGCTACGCCCAAAGAGCTGGCGATGTTGGCCCAGTTTGTCCAAGGCCAGCTGCAGTCGGCAAAGCTAGCCAGCTGCCTTCGCTTGGCCCATGGTGCCCAGGTCCATGGAGGCGATGTGGTCGCTTATGGAACCAGCCAAAGCTGGCAAGTGGCCCAGGTGCTGTTCCATGTGGAGCTCTTGCAAGAGAAAGCGACCATGGTCCAGGTCTGGGACCACGTGAAAAAGTTGGACCAGCAGCATGCCACATGCCGGGTCTCGGCACTCCAAGGGTTGATTCCAGCTTCGACAATCATTTGCCCATTGGTCTTTTCCTTGCGAGGCCAAGGCGAAGCCAAAGTCTTGCTGCCATGCCAACTGTACTCTGCTGCTTGACCAATAAAAAAGAGCCCCACCATTCTCGGAGGCCTTTAAGGCTGTTCCAGTTTGTCAAGTTTCGTAGAGCCTCCTTATAGCTGTTGCAGTCCAGTCCTTGCTGCATGAAGCCTTCGGGCTGTTCCCATTGCATGCGCAGCCAATTGGCTATCCCATGCGGGTTTGAACATGAGCTTTCCTTTCTGAAACACAAAGCTGGAAGTGAATTTTTGGCTTGTGAAGCATTTGTGGGATCCACAAAAATCTTTACACGCCTTAAATACACAATACATCCTACAACGAAAAGTATGTGAAATCAAAAGCCAGATAAATAGTTATAACTAGTTAGAACGAATTGCGATAAGTCTAGTTAACTTGTTATATTATGAATCTTAATTCTACATAACTAACATAACTCTCTATAAAAAACAGCCAATCCAAGTGCGCGTGTGCGCGTGTGCGCGTGTGCGCGCGTGTGCGCGTGTGCGTGTGTGCGTGTGTGCGCGTGTGTGGGTGTGTGGGTGTGTGGGTGTGTGGGTGTGTGGGTGTGTGGGTGTGTGGGTGTGTGTGTGTGTGCGCGCATGCGCGCGTGCGCGCGTGCGCGCGTGCGCGCGTGCGCGCGTGCGCGCGTGTGCGTGTGCGTGTGCGTGTGCGTGTGCGCGTGCGCGTGCGCGTGTGTGCGTGTGTCGCGCGCGGGCGCGTGGGCGCGTGGGCGCGTGGGCGCGTGGGCGCGTGGGCGCGTTGGGGGCGTGGGCGCGGGGGGGCGGGCGCGTGGGCGCGTGGGCGCGTGGCGCGGGGTCGCGCGGGCACGGGCGTGCGTGCGTGGGCGCGTGCGTGGGCGCGTGCGTGGGCGCGTGGGCGCGTGCGCGCGTGCGTGCGTGCGTGCGTGCGTGCGTGCGTGCGTGCGTGCGTGCGTGCGTGCGTGGGTGGGTGGGTGGGTGGGTGGGTGGGTGGGTGGGTGGGTGGGTGGGTGTGTGTGTGTGTGTCTGTGTGTTTTCGTGTCGTGCGTGCATGTGTCTGTGCGTATGTCTCTGTGTGTGTGTATATATAAGTGTGTCTGCGTGCGTGAGTGCGTGAGTGCGTGAGTGCGTGCGTGCGTGCGTGCGTGGGTGCGTGGGTGAAGAAGTGAGTGGGTGGGTGGGCGGGCGCATGGGTGCATGGGTGCATGGGTGCATGGGTGCATGGGTGCATGGGTGCATGGGTGCAGTGCATGGGGGCGGCAGCGTGGGTGGGGGGGGCGGGGGAGCGTGGGTGGGGGGGGGGGCGGGCGGGGCGGGGGGGCGGGGCGGGGCGGGGCGGGGGGGGCGGGGCGGGGCGGGGCGGGGCGGGGCGGGGCGGGCTTGCGGGAAAATTGCGAACTCGTGAAATGAGCCGTTTGACTTCCACCAGTGGGGGGCCAACTCGCAACACGTTGATGGTTCCAGAAATAACTGCCGGATTTTTTCGAACTCTGGCATCCTGTCTTTCTTGGACCCCTACAAAGGTACTGCCCGCGTAAACAAACTTGTTGCGGGCCAATTTTGAGCTGGCGCTGTCTGCAGTCATCCAATCCAAAAGAGGTAGCATCACATGTACCGAAAGACTTGCAGAAAAAGCTTGCAGCATATGCCGGACGGTAACCCGTCCGGTTGTGCCCAATTCTGCGCCTCCAGGTCTAAATCGGGCGACTGTGCTGCTAGCGAGAAAAGGTACTGCTGAAACACGCATGCAATGACTGCTCGGAGAACCCCCTGGTTTTCCATACATGGTCACAACAATTGGCAACCTGCAAACATATCATATCCAGGATGCACACATCCCGTAGGCTGGAAAAATCTGCATTTCTCGCGCTGCCCCGAGTTTCAAACTCGAGGTCTAGCCAGCTTGCCATGATGAGGGCTGCGCTGACGATTTTCACCGTTCAGGGGGCTTTGCCTTTGCTGCAGTCATGACTGGACATCCCCAACTTTGGAAACAAGCCCATTTCTTTTGGGGCTGCGATATCCGCAGATTGACTCCCGAACCTGCAGAATCTGGGTTCTCGCTTTCCTCTTGCTGGGAATCACGCACGTCTGAGCGAGACTTTTTTGGAGGAAGGGTGCGACAAAACTGTGTGGATCCTCTATAGGGAGAGCCGGGTGCTTCTTTGCGTCATCCAGCTGTTTCTGGAGTTCCCTTCATGCGATCCTGCGCAGCTTCCAGATGTTCTCGTTTCTACTGCTGCAAACTGCTGACAGACTCAGCCAGCAGTCCCAACTTGTGGGTCGTTTGCTGGTTTTCGTCCAATCCTGGATGGAAGGCGCACTGCCTCGATTTTGCTTCATGGATTTCCCTCGCTCCGCTCGCTGCTGACTCGAAGTTACGTGTCTTCCTCCTGTAGGAGTCTAAGTATGTGTATGTGTTGCGGAATGTCCCAATTCCGGGAGACTGGCCTTTACCTGATAAGAACATGTTGGAAATTGTTGGAACATCCAGTTTCAATACGGCCCGGCCTTGCCAGCATCCAATGGCTGAGGGGTTGATTGAAAAGAAGCCCTGCGTGCCTTGGTGACCCACCTTTCAAACGGTCCCCCGCGCTCTTCTTGCACGAACCTCCCGCTCAACTGGGTGCCTGACACGTCAAAGTATGGAGCCCCCGAAACAGGCCGTTCCTTTGGAAGGGCGCTTCTTGCAAAGGAACCCAAACGGAAACAACTTTTGGCGGGCACCATTTTTGAGACAACCCCCCCCCCCAAAAAAAGAAGGAAAAAAGTCTTGGAAACCCCGCTAACTTTCGGCTCAAAACCTGATCCGCACCTGCGCCAGTCGCTGGGGTGTGGCAAGGGCGGTGGCTCATCAGCCTGGCTGATGTCTCACGCTTGTTCCACGGTCAAGGGGGGTCCATTTTGAGACAAGCACAGGACAAGCCGAGGATACATCCTCAAGGAAATTCGCCTCGGCCCCAAAGCGGCCAAGGGCGCTCAGATCTCTCAACCCCCTCCCCGACCAAATTTGCCGCCCCGCCCCCACCCCCACCCCCCCCACCCATGTCGGCTGGCCCAAAATCCTGGCGGGCCTTGAAATTTTCGGGGTTTTTGTCCTGAAAAGCATGACCTCCTGCTGGCCTGTCTCACGTTTCTAAAACTAGGCTCAGGCCCAGCCCAACCAGCAACCCGCCTGCTGGCCAGGCCTGTCAGCCCAGCCCACCCAGCCTCAGGCCCAAGCTTGTCTGAAACAGGCCTAGCCCAACCAGCACGCCCGGCAAGCCCAGCCCGGCGCATCTCAGGGCATGCCAGCCACTAGGCCGGCCAGCGTGCCAAGGTCACGTTTGTCCAACGTGTCTGAGACTGGCCTCAGGCCAACAACCAGTCTCACGTGTCTGAGACTGGTCTCAACGCGTCTGGCCCCAAGTCAGCAGGCCCAGCCTTCGGCGCGACTAGCCTCAGCCTGCTGGCGTGTCTTACGTGTCTGCACCTGGCCTCAGGCCCAGCCCAGCCAGCAACTCGCCACCCAGGCCCACGCCCAAGCACAGCTCAGCCCAGCCCGCCCAGCCCAACCAGCAGCGTAGGCCCCGGCGCATCTCAGGGCATGCCAGCCGCTCAGCCCAGCGTGCCAAGGTCAGGTTTGTCTAACGTGTCTGAGACTGGCCTCAGGCCCGCGACGTCTGAGACTGGTCTCAAGCTACGCCAGCGACTAAGCCTGTCTGACGTGCCCGGCCCCCCAGTCCGGCTGCCCAAGCAGCTCAGCCCAGGCCGACCAGGCCTTGACCTCCTGCTCGTGTCTGGCCCCAAGTCATCCAGCAGGCCCAGCCCCTTCGGCGCAGTCTGAGACTGGTCTAGGTATGCCAGCCTGAGGCTAGTCTGCGGTCACAAGCTTTCAGTAGGATTCGGACCTTCCCAACACTGGATTTCGGTGTTCCTGACCCTGCCCTCAAACTAGGCTGGGCCGAGGCGGGCAGCGCGAAGCGTTTACAATTAATGAGCAACATCCTCTGAGGCACAAAGAAGAGGCCAAGTATCCCGCCTTCTGCGGGGTCGATACAGAAAAACGACCCCTACTTTAAAATTCAGCCCCGCCTTGCTTGCACCAGCGTCTTGACCGGGGATTGGTGGAAGCCAATCTTCAGCAACATCAATTGCAACCCCGTGATCAGACTTGGGGAAGCAATCTAAGGCCATCCTTCCCCCCAGGTTCTATGAACCTTGAGCTCACGACTGCCACCGGCTTGCGGAACTTTCCAATTACCAGAAACGGAAAGGACAAGAAAAGCAAGCCTTGGGCAAGGCCCGCTGCAGAAGCCGAAGCGCCTCCAGCTCCTGCCATGTCCAACGCAAAGGATGAAGCCCAGGGTTTGTGTCTAAGGGCTCTAAATTGGAGCACATCTAAAGCACAAGCCACCAGCCACATGGAACTCCATGCTGCTCGAGGCAAGCAGGAAATGAGGCGAAAGTTGTCTGTTGGATCCGCCCAGATCTGTCTGGGTCCGGCTCGTCGTATGGCCATTTGCCCAAAGATACAGACATGTGTTTTTTGTTACTGGTTTTTTTCCAACTCCCATGTCACGCCCGTAGGTAACCACGGCTATGATGGAATCCAGCTCCTGTTACGCCGCTTGAAAGCACTGTTGTGATTGATTGCTTCCTGCATGAGACACTCACCCCACGCACTTGTGTCTTTTACATGGGGGGCGCCGCAGACCCGTTTAAGTCTCACTGTAAAGGGAGTGGTGGCCCATGAGGAGGCGGGGGGGCTCTGGTGGAGGATGGAGGATCGGAGGCAGATGGCGCAGAAAGGAAGGCTGAGCTGGTGGTGCTGCAGAAGGCAAACGAGGAGGTTGCCAGCCAGAAGTTCCATGACCCCAGAAGAGAAGTAGTCTGATGAGATTCAAAAACCCTTCGCTCGATGAAGGAGGCTGCAAAAGCAGGGAATTCCCACGGGGGAATTCTGGAGGCGTCGCAGCAGGACCGATGGGTGAACAAAATGGAAAACTTCTACATCAAGGCGCGCTGAAGGAAAAGGGTCTTGGAGTTTGAACCAATTCGGCCAATCTTCGTGCTGGGCGGAAGTCGCAGTTGCGGACGTGGACGGGCTCCACCGTTTCTGGAAGGCATTGGGCGTGGATTAGTGAGGGGAAGCGTGAATGAGTGCCACAGGTCAGCCACGGGTGTTGGCGCTGACGCGCCATGCATTTCGCAATGGGGGCACCGCAAACCCCTTGAGCTCATTAGGAACGCCAAGGTTTGCATTCCAAATCATGATAAACAAAAAGGGGCTGGGCCGTCAAAAGTAGCACCTCTTTGGGACCCGTTTTAGATTTTGCTTGCGCGGCCTCAGGTGTTCAAAGCGGGGCCCACGCCCCGCCCGGCACACAGCTCGGTCCTGGCGCGCGGTGAGGACCTCCCCGCTGCTGGGCGGTATCAAACTTTGGCACACCGCCGCAGCACGGATCGCGGCCTCGCTTCGACTCTTGCACGCTTCGTTAGCTGGAGTTGGAAGCTGGACTATATATGCCTTTGAACGGTTGCAGAGATCCGCCAGCTAGACAGTTCTTCAGGGAAGGCTAAAGCGCTGGCACCAAACCGACTGGTTTCAAACAAACCTCTTCTCCTGGCTCGTTCAATAGTTGCAGCCAAATCCACGCCGCGAAACAAAAGCGCGGCGAAGCGCGGCGAAGCGCGGCGCCTGGGGCACCGGGTCCGACAGCGTCATGCTACATCGGGCGAAGACCTGGCGTTGGGTTCGTTGGGTTGTGAATCAAGGTCCGGTCGGGCAAGCGAGCAGAGCTGAGCAGCATCCTATCACACCAAGAAGGCGCTCGCGCCCTGGCGTCAACTACGCCACTTCAAACAACAAAATGATCGAGGGGCACCCCCAATTCTGAAGCAAACACGCACAAGACGATACACCACTATGAACCACGATTTAACCGCTATAAACCACTTGCTATGTAGCGACAGCAATACCACAAGAAACGACGGAGGCCTACCCAAAGGCGACACCTATCAGCCTGAAAAAACACCCCAACCAAAGCCGAGTCAGATAATATTATTTGTTGTTCGTGCAACCCCGTAAAGCCCATCCAAAGGTGACATGAGTGCTTTTTGAGTGCGCCCTGTTCAGGCCAAGGGAAAATCGAAGGAACGCTCCTCCTCTTCTTGGGCCCCCTACTTCTCGGACGGACATGTCGCGACGCTCAAGCAGTTCTGCGCCCAATAGCCCACAACTCGCAAACCCGCAGACATGAGCAAAGGGTTACACGCAGCGCGCAAACTCTGCCAGGTGGGAAAACTGCAGCCCTGCAAGATCACTGCCCGTTGCAGCGCTCCACTTCACAGCCCAGTCTGCAAATCCAAGCTTTCTCTGCAGCTTGGCGGGTATGAAACCGAGTGATGATGCGCATGTCCGCGTTGTTAGGCACAAAATGAAGCACCCGCCGCAGACTAAATGCTTGGCGCTGGGCATCATGGACACTTCGCCAAGGCAGACTGATTCGCCACACATGCATGGGCTACCTACCCAAACCATAGATCACCACGGAGCAAGCATCCACAGGATGCAAACGACTTGCCGCGTCCACTCGCGCCATCCCGACGACCTGCCGGGCAAGGCTCGCCTCGACACCAGCTTCCACGCGCACAAAAAATCCGGTCTGAGGCTGGGCAGAAAAAAGCCGACTGGACAGTGCATTACAAGCCACCCCAAAATCAAGCTGACCTGGCCTGCCACCAAGCATGAATGTTGTTCTTGATTTGTTCGACTAGTTTGTTGTTTTTACATATGTGTTTCTTGAAGTGTTCTTGATTACATGTGTGATGTTCGCTCAAATGTGATTGGTTTTGTTGGCAGGCAAGGTATTCAGACAAATGGGCGGGGGGGGCACTCGCAACATTGGTATTTTAAAGAACGTGGAATTCCAAACGGACATTAAGCGAATACGATTTTTTTTCTCAGACTTGCTACAGGATGCGGTCTGGATTGCTGATCCGGACTTGGTCGTGATCCTTACTGTGTTGATCCTCAAGCTTGTTGTTCAGGGTTCTGGTTCTTCTTGTCGTTCGATGGAGCGCTGCTGCTCCGTTGTCCGCTGTTGCTTGCCTGTGCTTCCTTCGTGAACTTCGTCGTCGTTGTGTGTTCCTGTTGACGTCGGCGGTGGTGGTAGAGGTGTCCGTCGAACTGTTAGCGACGATGTTGCCATTGGAGAGGATGGCTCTGCCGCTGATGCTGTTGCTTGCTCGCCTGTGCGTGGTGTCTTTGTTGGTGATTCGCCGCCTGCTTGAGTTGTCAACCGTTTATTGTCTCCGGTTTGTGTCGCCGTTGCCGTTGACTGTGCTCGTGGTGCTCGAACGTGGATCACCGTTGATCTTGTCCACGGTGGTGCGTTGACGACGTCGAGAAGTTGCCTGTTTTGCTTTTGTGTCGACGGATCGTCCTTGCTCGGACGACCCTGCCGTAGACGCCGACGAGTGATTCGTCCTTGCCGAGCCAGATTCCGTCGAAGAACCCGTTTTCCAGTGTTGGGAGTTGCTTGGTCGTTGACACCATGGACTGGACCGTTTCTGCGAACTCACAGATTGTTGTGGTTTTCTCTTCCCCACCTGTTGAAGTAGCTTGTGTTGTCATTGCTGTGGGTTGCGCGCCTGTTGAGCAGAAAAGCGTTGTGGCACACAATCCAAAGCACCAGCGGATGGTCCATTTTGATTGTTTGGTTATAGTTTTGCTGAACTTGTGACTTAAGTGTTCGGATCTGTCTGAAAAGTGTTCCGTGCGCCAGCTCTACTGAACCTTGTGACTGCGAGCAGTCTGGTCGGACTGCACACGGCGCAGTCGAACTGTGTTGCGCTGATCCTGCCAGGCTTGATGTCAATTGATGTGAGCACTGGTGTCGTGACTATGTCGTTGAATGCGAAGTCCACTGGGGCTATGGGTCGCTTGCTCTTCTGTGGGTGGTTGTTGGCTCCACGTCTGCTCACGCGTATGGGACACCATTGCGGTATGGAAGATGCGTGAGATTGTATTCGCTGCTTTGCGCTTTGCTGTGGTGTTGGTTGCTCTGGCGCTTTGACTCCTTTGGCTTGTCGTGCTTCCTGTTGTTCCTCATCGCCGTCGAGTTGGTCTTTGTATTATGCTTTCTCTTTGAAGTTGGTTGAACCTGTCCATTCCTTGTTGATGCTCTTCCTTCTTTTGTCCAGTTGTCTTCATGGACGGTTGCTCCATCCAGTTGCGTGTCGCTTGGGACTATCCAAGACCGTCTGTTTGGAAGCACTCGGTCTACTTGGTCCACTTGCTTGCGGAGCAAGTGGACCAAGTGGCCAAGGAAACCAGTTGACGCAGTGGCCTTCAGCGGTTATAGGTCCCCGTTTGCGAGCGCAAGGCAGCGATAGCTTCTCCCTGAAAAACATGAGAGGGACCATCTAAAGCATCTGTTTTCTCGCTTTGGGCTCGCTGGACTGCTGAATGTCTGTGCCCCAGCTCTTTGGCTCTTTCCAGACAAGTGACGTATAGGCCGTATAGGACCAAGAATGGTCCAATGTCCCACAAGACACGACATCGGGTCAAATCATGTGCGTTGTCATGCTTATAAGCTGCAGCCATCAAGGACTCCTGCGCGGAGTCAGCTTCTGGCTTCCGGGCTGCCCGGCACGGGAAGAAGCCCATCCGGCTTGCCAGCAAGCAGCTGCGAGCCGAGCGAATCGCCCAGATGGCACGAAACAATGGGGCATCTGTGGACAAGCCACGCTCTGCCATGCCAGCACAACACCTCCGCAACGCATTGCAATGCCCAAGAGTTTGAGATGGCAAGACACATGCAACCGCCAAGCCGGCCTTCCCTTCATATTCCAAGTCAGGCCACGCAAATGCTCGACATGGATTCAGCTGGCTTACAGGGTGAGAGGTACCTGGCCTCTGTTCCTCACCGGGGCAAAGGCGGCTGGCAAGGGACTGCTGCTCAGAAGCAATCCAAGCGCAGAAATCCTGGGAACATGTGGCAGGGCCCGCCGATTCCCAAAGGTGGGACCTGCGCGACGTTCATCAATTTCAATGGCAAAGCCCGTTCGAGCCACGGGGGCTGAGCTAAGCGCCAGGCCACTTGTTTGCATTGCCGCTCGCCCCGAAAATCCATCAACTTTTCATCGAGATGAAAGCAGCACGAGAGGCCACTGACTGGCGCTGCGTGCCAAAGGCCGGGAGTCAAGAACAGTGCGCTACGCCTGGCCTACGCCTTCCACCCGTCCTCATCGAAGATGCTGGAGAGACCCCCTCTAAAAGTTGAACTCCTGATCAGGCACTGCCGTAACAGACTATTGCGGCCCATTTGGCTCCAGCGGAATCAGCTGAGCGCACAAGCAAAGTTGCTCAAAGGCGATTCCCAGCTACAAACAACGCTGGAAAGCAAGTGGGAAACACTGTGAGCTCCGTTCAAGATTAAAAACTGAAGCGCTCAAACGTGGTCGCTTCAAAGGGGACATCGTTTTTGGTTGCTCATAGATGTACGCGCCTTGTAACCTTCCCTCGTCTGGGGACATGGTGCACTTGCTGCTTGCAACACGCAGCTTCAAGCTCGCGCTGGCGTCAGGATCTCAACGAGCTGGCGCTCGCCGCTAAAGCCGAGTCGGTCAATCTCCATCATCAAGCAACGCATTCTCTCCTTTGGAATTTCATGCCTCAGCTCCGGACATCTGAAAGCAAATCTTGAGGGAGGACTAGATTGGCTTACAGCGCACAGTGCTTCATCATGCTCTGGGACATTTATGTTTGGGCAGGCAGCCACTGTTTGGCGGGACGGGTTCCCTTGGTTATAGTTGCTCCGAAGGAGATTCTGGTCAAGATCAACGGCTTTGCACTTGCGCCTGGTGCTGGAATTGGTGGTGCTCGAGGTCGTGCTCGTTTTCGTGGTCGAGGTGGGCACGGTAATGTTCACCTCCGACAGGTTCTTCTGCGCAGCGAAGGAGTTGTAGAGCTCTCCCAGCGGGGTGAGTGTGCCGTTGGGGGAAACGATGCCTCAAGCATGCAGGGGGCCTGTTGAATTCTCACCCCCCTTCAGGCCGTCCACGATGGGATGCGCCCAGCCTGCTATCTTCTAAGATGCTCTGCACATGTTGCTTTGGGCTTTCAGACAGGGTGCCCCATGTCTGCCTTGGAACTGAAAGTGGTTCAGCACAGCCAGCTTTGGCCGCGGATGCTATCTGAGTCTGAAACAATTCGCCCCTTGGGCAAACTTCCATGCTGTTTGAGGTGCGGAAAACCAGCTATTTGCGCTGCCCACTGAAACACTGGATGGAGCATCCTGGGCGAACCCGTTCCTGCGCCCACAGTCAAATGAAGTCACGGCAAAACCTGCGAGTAAATTGGGTACAACACCAAATCTTTACTGCATTTGGCCTTAACTCGTTCATTTTCACATTGAGCCGCTCAAATGCGTTGGATTTCGTGTGCAATTAGGTTGGTGTGGCTGGCCCTCTGTGGACCAAGAAGCGCTTTTGCTACAAAGCCTGCAGACCCATTGACACACAAATGTTTGCTCATAAGTGCGCGAGAAATGGTAAATGCAAACACATGCACACGCACAGATTGTAGGGCGGAGCTTTGGCTTTGCACACTTTTTGGAATTGCGTCCGAGATGCAGAAATTTGCGCATGCCCGGCACACGCGTTTCAGCAAGAGCTGGCCGAGGCACTGACTGCGTGTCAGGAACGATGAACGTTGTCGTTTCATGCAGCCCTGCTTGA